GTTCCTAAAATGTTAATACAATACAATAATTCACAATTAAAAGATATCTTTAAAATTAAAGCACCACGCGACGAAAGTTTAATAAAGAATTTTATCTTTCGAAATTCAGATAAATTAGAGTTAAACAAACAAATAGATAAAAATATTAAAACAAACACATCATATAATTTTGCAACATCAACATTAATTAAAACTAATAATTTACATTCTAATTGTATAGTTATTTCAGATGAAAATATCAATGAGAGAATTAAACTAAATCAGTCTTTAGTTAAAAGAAAAATATATCTATTAAAGGCAATAGAAAATTTCCAGTATTTTATCTTAATTGCATTAATTTATAAACATTTACAAATATATGTGAACTTAACAGATTGGTTTAAAATAAATTTTAATTATAATCATAATATTCATAACACTACGAAAATAGCACACAATTTAAAAAATATACTTTTTCAAAACACATTTATTAAAATAAATTCATTTTTATTAGACATATCTACACTTTGTAATAATAACTTAACTTCTTTTATTAAAAATATTCTTAACATTTTACCTAACTTTAGAAGAAATGTTTTACATATAAAAAATATATTTCACATTTCTTTAAATAAATATTATTGGTCTTTTAAAAATTACTCATATTCTTTTGTTAAATTCACCATGAAAATTAATTGCATTAAGCATGTTATTACTATTTTTGACACTGGCGATTAAAATTTTTAGACAATTGTTGATCTATCGGTCAAAATAGAAAAAACTTTGTTACTAAATAAAAATAAAAAAAAAATGTTTATAACAATAAATTTCTAATTTATTAACCTTTAAGATAAATATATATTGCACATTATATTACGTACCACTTATACATAATTTTTAAATACTCATAAATATACAAATAATGCTAAAACAATATTATTCTATTATTTAAATAAGCTAATGAAATATTAATAATTGCTGTTCTATATTTATTCACTCCGTGTCTAGATGTAACAATTTAATGTTTTAAAATTTAATCATTGTATAATCATTAATTATAATTTTGTAATTATCTTATAAAACTAACAATTTTGTANAATCATTAATTATAATTTTTTAATTATAAAACTAACAATTTTGTACAAAAAATTGTAAAGCAATTTTCAACTATTTCAAATCATTATAAAATACATACGATCATTATAAATGAAGAAAAAACAATTCATACTAGTAATGGTGATAAAATAATTAGTTCAACCATGCCAGATGAAGACTATACAATTCATATTATCAGTATAACTAAAGAATTAAGTACTCATACAATATATATATATACTACAAAAAAATTTAAATAAATATATTTGTATTATTAAAATTTATTAAATTTTTACAATCATGGCTTCATAAGACAGTTACTATAAACTACGAAGTCCTACAACAAAGATGAATCATAGATTGCCATATTGAATAGCAGTCTTATAATCATACAGAACCAAATTGCAATACATATAAATTACAAAGACCAAAAATTGTAGAAGAATGAAAAACGCCTGAACTTATTATTTTAATCGCTATTACTATGTATGGAGAGAACACAACGGTCTCCGAATACAACTTCTAATTCATTAAAAAATTTACTATTCTTATTATATATAAATTATTTGCCTTACTCAGTGTTCAGATTTTAAATTTGTTTTTGTTATAAAAAAAATATAAGAATTAATAACGTGTTGTAAAAATACGACGCTACTAAATNAGATAAGAATTAATAACGTGTTGTAAAAATACGACACTACTAATTACGTTATAAACTACTATCAAATTATACAACTCAAAACACTACAATAATTCCTGTACTTACACACATACTTTATCATAATAATCACTGAACTAATAAATATCATATTGAATATTAGATTATATCAATATTTATTATATGTATGTTGTATCATTTATTAATATACTATGCATTATTATTCATTTATATAAAATATTTACTCATATATATCATTCTTATAACAATAATTTAAAATGAATATTCATCCAAATTACTCACTATTAATTAATTATTAACTATATCTCTTATATATTCATTATCATTATTATTATTATTATTATTATTATNATATTTCAAAATTATGCTGCTGTAAAGAATGGCCACTTCAAAAAATCTATTTAAATAAAATATCTCTAAAATAATAGGAGTATAAAATTTGTTTTTATACTGAATTACATAGTAAAATCTATCACTCAATATAAATATTTTTATATGATCATACACCAATATACAGGGTGATTTTTTTATCATAACCCACTCAATTACTTGCATAATAATAATAATTTAAACATTATATTGATAGCCAAATCTACATTTAGATGGTTTTAGTTTTAAGTTATACTTTAAAAATCGTTGAAATGTTAATTCTAGTGAATGTAAATGAGACTCAAATGATTTGCCAAATGCAACGCAATCGTCTAAATAGCATATATTGTGTCTATAATTTAAGCCAGCCATGACTTTACACAAAGCAGCTTGATAAAATTGGGGTGCATTAGATAACCCAAAAGGTAAACGAGTAAACTGAACATGATAATTTTTAGTTGAATAAGCTGTAAGAGCTTTAGAATTGTCAGAAAGTTCTATTTGATGGAAACCTGAAGTAGCATCTAAAGAACTAAAGTATTGGTATTGGTTTCCTGCTAAACAATCATATAAATTTTGTATTATAGGTAAAGGGAAGCTTTCACGATAAATATTTTCATTAAGTTTTCGAAAGTCTATTACCATTCTGTATTCTTTTGATCCCTCTTGACTTTTGCTGCATTGTCCTTGATTTTTAGCGACTAAAAACACAGGATTAGAATAAGGACTTGAAGATTCCTCTACAATACCAGCTTTTAAAAGTTCCTGTAACTGTTTTTCGATTTCATTACGCTCTACGCGGCTTAACTTAAAATTAGGTAAATTTATTATTTTATTACTTGATAACTGAAGTTCTATCGGAGCAATTTTACACGAGCCTAAATCATATTTATGTTTAGAAAAAATTGTACTATATTTCATTAATAAACCTCTAAGTTTATTTTGCTGATCAATAGGTAACGCTGGATTAATGTCCCAGTCTAGTTCGTTTTCAGATGTTGTAACCGTAGGAGATAACGAAATATTACTTTTAACGTTTTCTGAGAATTGAGTCGTGTTCGTGTGGGAATCATTGTTACTGATTTTTGCTACGTCTTGTTTAACGCTGCGTGTTTTAATTATTTATTATTTTAAATCTTTTTTTAATTATTTTATTTTAATAATAAATCCAACACAACTATAAATTTTTAAAAATAAAAATAATTTATTGTGAGCTTTTCTTATTGGGTAGCTAGTCTCGTTGCTAATGTCTTTGTTTTAACAAACATCGCCCCGGCAAACAACGCAAAAAACTTACGAGTATATTTACAGTGTTTAATCTTTGCTTGGTGATTATTGTGTGCCGCATCCTTTTAAAGTTACTTTATAGTTGATAATATCTTAAATAACATACGGACTCCTACATTTTTTGAGAGGAACTAATTTTTAAATTGGGAGGAAATCGCTTAAGGCTTTAATGCTCTTTTAACGCATGAGTTAAGCGGCAAGCACTCAAAGTATTATTCCTATAATTTTAGGTATATATTTCCAAATCATAAAGAAATAGGCAGAAAAAAAATCTGAACTCAAACCATCACTTAAATTAAATTTCCTAAGACACTATAGTCTTAAAAATATTGTTCTCTATCACGTATATGATTAATTGATAAATACTATAAGATTTTTACATAATATTAATATATTTTAATTAATTAAAAATCGTTATTTTTAAAAGAGAAATTCTTTGTAAATTTCGTATGTCTAGTTTGAATAGGTTTCTTTTTGTAAATTTGGTAGTACATTTGACTTATTTTTAAAATATTAATATAACAGAAATCTTGACATAAATGTTGTTTATATTAGTCTTTATAACAAATCATAAATCAGTGGCACAACCAAGGAGAGGTTTCTGGATCTAGACATCGTGGACATAAAGTCAACAGCGGAGATTTGTGGAGGGGTACTACTTTATATTCTAAAAGTTATCTAGTCCCTCCAAACAAAAAATTTCTAATTGCGCGACTGTTATAAATTATAACAGGCGTTTGTATTGCAATTTTTAAAAAAAATATTTAAAATAGATATAGCTGTAAACAATTTATTTAAATTAAAATAATTTTCACAATATTTCTGTATATTAATATATGAAAATAAAGTACTTAAAGTCTTTTTTTTAATAATTAAATCTAAGTGTGTTTTTAAATCAAAAATACATTAGTTAGTTAGATTAAAAAATTATTGTAATACATACTATTTTAGCAATTAGTTTTTATATAACAAAGTGTGGAAAAAACAGCAAAGATAAACAGATATTATGTATTTTGCCACCTATTTATCAAATCCAAAATTTACGCAAAACATCTTAACACCTTCCTGAACTAATTTTTGAAATTCTGGTTTATACGGATTAAAAAAGAATTCTACATGACATATATCTTCATATTATATTAGTTTTTCAAAAAAGTCTTCTAAGTATTCTTCATGTCCAAATCCAATAACAGCATAGGCTCCATATTCATGTGTATATTGACAATTTCGTTCAAATCTACAAATGTGCTATTTATAAATTCATTATATATTGCTGATTCTTCTGTGAATTTTATTTCTTTGACAATTATATTCAGTTTTTCAGTAAATTCTAATAATTTTGTGAGAGCGTCGTGTACAGTATTCTGATAATGACCTTTTAGATATTCTAGTGCATTAGCCGTACAACTCATTAATGGTTTAAACTTAATAAGAGTATCGATAAAATATTGTAATTTATCGTTTTTAATCTCGTCATCTGCAAGTTCTATATATAGTTAAAAAAAACGCTATTATTAAGTCAAAATTTACAAAAGTAAATAATTTTACTTTGTAATTTATTAATTTTTTAACTCTATTTGTGTGTGATACTATCAGTCTATAATATTCCAATTTTTTTTGTAAAAATCAAGAACAGAGAAATAGGTATAAATTCGAAAAAAATAGTACTGTCATTATACCTAGAAATCAAAGAACTACTAATCAAGCTGTAATTAAGGAAATAGAAGTTGATGTTGTTCTTGAAATAATTCAACATTTCCATTAAAAAAATTAAACACTATCTATAGATTTGCATCGAAGCGTTTTTTATGATAATGATTTTAATCACTGTCAGATATCATTACTCCACTATGCTGGGTTTTTTTATATAATAAATATGAAATTTATTGAAGAAAAAATGATTTCAAAAAGATAATTTTACGGGCAATTTTCGAAAGTTAAATTGAAATTGCTATATAGTATATTGCTTTTAAATCAAGAAGTAAAACATTTTATTTATTATTTTAATGTTTAGTAAATTGTAACACAATTGCAATATCTTGACTATTGCATAAGATCAGGTAGTAAATATTTCATTATTCTTTTTTGATGATTAATTGTTTTCTTAAAACATTAACTTTGAATTAGATTTTTAAATAAAAAAACAAATTCTAGCATATAGACAGTGTGAATTTTCTCATAAAAAAATTATGTGGATCCATACACTTTTCAATAAGTTATAGCATTATAAAGTTAAATATAATATAAAAAATAAAATCGAAAATTTTCACACAAAAATAGCATTCGGTAGCCATTTTCACCATGAAGACAAATCCAGAGCTCAAATTTTTTTTCTTTCAAATTAAAGTATATTACATTAGCTTTAATTTAAGATATAAATAAAAGTATCAGACTTTCTGAAACACTTTCAAAAATTAAGTTGAAAAATTAAATTTTTTGTGAAAAAGTTGTATTTTTAAATTCACCCCTGTGGGCAGATAAAGGGTTAAATTTACAAAAATTAGTGGATTATTCCAAAACCTACATGATCTGCTGGTTCCTTATTCATATCCTGATTAAGATAAAGTATGTTGAATGAAAAAGGGATATAAATATTATTTCTCATAAAAAAATTGTGTTGATAAAATCGAAATTAAAAATAAAATCGAGAATTTTCACACGAAAATTGCATTTGGTAACTATTTTTACCGTGAAGACAATATAAAGTCCGAAATTTTTTTTTCCATTATAAAGTACATTAAATTAGCTTTAATTTAAAATATAAGTAAAAGTATCAGACTTTCTGAAACACTTTCAAAAATTAGGCTGAAAAAGTTAATTTTTTGTGAAAAAGTTGTCATTTTAAATCCCCCTCGTGGACAGGTAAAGGGTCAGATTTTTAAAAAAAATATACCAAATGATAGGTAAAGATATCAAGCATCTATAAAAAAAAATTAATATTGATATGTTCATTTTTGAAAAAGTTATGGTAATTTTAATTTATAAAAATTGAAAAAATTAGCGATTTTTAATATTTGTGTTATTCAATTTTTTTAGTTTAAAACATTTTGTTATTTATTGAATAGATATTTTAGATTTTATCTAGAAAGATATATGGAACCACTAGTAGAGTTTTCACTGTTATGTTTAAATAGATTTTAACTGATTACGAACTATTTTAACTAGTATTAGTAATAAAAAGGAAAAATTTGAGAAAAAATTAGACCAAGTAAAATATATAGCTAGGATACCTACAAATATCGCTTACAATGAAATGCAATTGTAAATTTTAAATATCTATTCAATACATACATGGCTATATAATACATGGCACATAATTCCCATACTTATCGATGAAATTATTCTGTATGTTTCTATATATTTATAGCTTTGATTCAAAACTGAGGAGGTACTGATTTTACCATATATTAAAAAAACCATCCACGAATGTAGAATAAATTTTATTATATAGAAAACTATCTATAAATATTTATTTTTTGTTAGTCCATATTATGTAATAGACGAAAGTAAACGAATTTTTTTATATTATTAACTGGTAACAGTACGCGATTTCTTTTACATGAATTATAATAATAACTAGAGATCGGATTTATATTCTCTTAAAATTTTCAAAATATGATGTTTCTATATCACATAAAATAGACAATGTATTCTCTTAATATTCTTTTAAAATACCATATATATGATGTTTTATGTCCTTAAATTTGCAAAATAGTCTTTTAATATTAAAAAAAAAATTAAGTTTAAATTTATTTTTTATTAATTTGGTTTTATATATATTTAATTTAATTAATTTTACAATAACAATTACTATATATTGTTCATTGTGTTCCGGTGTCATTTTAGTACGCCGGTTTGTAAGAATATTTTTGTAAATGCTGAAGGACCGTTCGACATCAACTTATGTCACTGGAGAATATTGCAAGTCAGCTACCATAGTCGGTGAATAATTTTTCGGAAGTTGTACTGTGTTATTTCCACTAAAAACTTGTCCAATATTTTTCAAAAATTTGTATCCTTTGTTTTTTTGTTGAAGTTGCAATATTTTTGTTTTTAATACTTTTCCTTGTATCTGCTCGAGTTGTGTAAAAGTGTTTTCGATAATATTTATCATATCAACTAAGGGAGTATTTGATTTTTCCAAACTTTTGATAGTTGTAACAATTTGAAGAAAATTAGTTTTAATAAAAATCAAATCATTTTTTACAGCCTGTAGGTGTAACATATTTTTGCATTTTTCAATACTGACTGATAACTTTTCTTCACTTAATTTGTCTATAACCTTTTTCAAACCCTCAAAATTATCGCAATTAAATATTACAGCTTCCAGCCAAGTTCCCCATCTAGTTAATACGGGTTCTGGGATGATGGTACATTGAGTAATATTTCTTTGTACACCTGGACATGATATGGCGCTTTTAAAAATACTTCTTTTAGATTACTGATTAATTTGTTAACATTTGGGAAACATTTCTCTGACCTTCTCTGCAACCCTGTTCATCATGTGAGCTACACATGTAACATGAATTAAATTTGGGTAGAAAACTTTTAGTGTCATGCATGGTGCTGCATCCGATAACATTACCAACACTTTTTCATCATTTCCACTCAACGGCCATAATATTTTTAATCCATCATTGATTAACCGAGAAACAATAGAATGATTAGTTTTTTCAAAACCTTGCATGTCAGGAGAAATGGGCGAGTCGGAGTATTTGATTTTAATATTCCCACCAGTTAATTTGCAACGTAACGACCGTTTGTATCTGTAGTTTCATTTACAGCTATCCAAATATTATTTTCACCAATTTCATTTTTAATTTTCGTTAAAGTTTTATGGTAACACAGCTCGAGATAATTTTTTCATAACACACTTTCATCTGGTATATGTTTGCCAGAATATTTCTTTAAAAATGTACGTAATTGAGGAACTTGCATTTTATACCAAGGAATATTAGCTGCTACTAAGGCTAGACACATATCTTTGTTAAAATCATTCAAGTTGTTTTCATTAGGAGTAGCTTCTGATAAAAATAATTGTTTTGATGAAGTATTTCATTTATGTTTGAAACCATTTTTGTGGACAGCCGTATGTACATGTTGTGTTACCTGTGATTTTTTGGTGCAAGGAATATTTCTGTCACAAACTTGACAAAAAATTGTTGCACCATTTGTCGTGAAAATCGTTTGTTGGTTATTGTACGACGAAATTCATTGAGCAAATAAACTTTTTAAACTACTTGAAGTTTTTGGCATATTTGTATGTTATAGACTATAACATACAAATACTATAACTTATAGTAATATGAGACAAGTGGAAAGACTAGTAGACGACGAATAGTCATGACAGCTAATGAACCAACCGATGTGCTATCGCAATCGATAAGGAATACCTGGAGATTAATTTTTATTAAAACCCAGAAATAAAACATTTAGTGAACATTGTATTTATCAAAGTTCTAATACACGTGAAATATGTTCATTATATGCCGATATTAAAAAAATATTCTCTAACGTTTTAAATATTCTCTAACCCCTAAAATATGTTTTTTTATGTAAAATAAATTATTTCTTGTGAATTCTGTGTTTGATGAATCTTAATGATTTTTCACTCCCATTTGACTGCATAGACTAGAAACAAACATGTAAAATCATAAAAATCCGACCTCTAATAATAACGTTCGAATGCGCTTCTTACAGAAATGATTATCTCTAACCTTTATTACAAAATGTTAGAAACGTAATCTTATGTTGACAACAAGTGTTCGGTGGTTATCCAAGTTAAATTGATAATAATTATTAATTTGCGTGATTCTATCATTAATATCATTAATATACTTAATATATTAAAGGATATTACTTGTTAAGAGGATATGATAATAAATGCACTTACACAATATTATGATCATTATTACTTATTATAACATGTTATAGATATCGTTTTTATCATTTTTTTTAAATAAACTTAATTTTTACTACTACTTGATTTTCATGTCAATTTTAGATGCTTGTTCAAGTGTTCATATTTTCATGAAAAAGTAATCGCACACTGTTACCAGTAAATAACGCAAAAAGATAATGTTTAATTCCGTTCATTACGCAATATGGACTAAAATTTGATACCATAGGAAAATCCTAAAAAAAATCAAAATTTAACAAACTTCAAAAAGCCGTATAAACATAACTGCTGAATTAAAATAAGAGTTTTTGATATCAATATATTTCTTAAAACTTTTCTATAAAATGACTATCTTCAAATAGTAAAAAAATTAATTTATAAAACATTTTTTTTTTAATTTTTCAAAAGTTACATTTGTCAAAGCTCCACGTAGTTTATGATCACCCACCCCCTTCTGGTCGCTTGGCCTAAGATAGTCATAGTAGTCGTGGTACTATGGGCACCTATGTCGTTACATACGAGTACGTGTGTACGCCTTTGTAATTCTGCCGTACCCATTGGGTCTGTCGTCTCGTGGCCAGTGAACTGGCGTGTGTTTATTCAGTTCGTCCGCGCGCGGTGGCTAAGTCGTACCGTTGAGTTTCCTAACTCGTCGGCCAGTGAGCTGGCGCGTGTTTATCTGTTGTTGACTGGTTTGTATAGGTCTGTTTAGGCGACAACCAACAGTTCCCCCTATCCGTTACGTGCTACTACACGAGTGCACAACGAAAAACGAGATCACCGGAGGCTGGCCGTTCTATACTTCAAAGGAGAATTTAATGGGAAGCGTTCGGCAGACTTTCAACATTAAAAGGCAGAGTGGTTGGCTGGGTGATGTCTTACCATTTGTTTTGTTAATGTATCAATATTATGAATATATTAGGTTATGTATGTAAATATAATAAAAATACTGCCTGTAATCAACCTTTAGTGGATTGTCTTCTCGTAGTTCGTCTATTAAGAGTAGCAGAAAACACCCGACCCGTCATTTATATATCGTTAATTGAGTTAACGTTTATGTAAAGTATTCAAAGGTCACTCTGGGACCTGGATTTCAAATTTATTATTTTTACAGTAATTGTAGTATAATATATTATATAATGCATTCATATATTGATTTTTAATATTATTAATGTTTTATATATCCTTTTTAAATTATTTATATAAACTACTTTGGTATACTCTTAGGTATATTAGTTTATATTGTATTATTTAATTTTTTTTGTTGACTAGTAGTTAATCACGTCAAATGTAATAAAAAAAAAAAAGACTCTGCATCTACACGCTATCGATTAAAAAAAAAATTAGAGATATTTCTATACTTTTTTAAAGTTCATCAAAAATTAATTTTTTGTTTTCTCTTAAATATTTCCTATATTTATTATATTAAATATATTCAGTAATTCTAAAAAATATTATGAATTAGAAAAATAAATAAAAATTTAATATTGTGTTTTTAATTATTTATCTAATTTATAATGTAAATATGTGCACTATCTATAAAATATTTAAAACAATAAATATATGAAAACATTTATTTCTCCCTAAACGAAATTGTATATTAAGTTACTGATTAATGTGAATTTATTGTCACATTAAATAATTTAGGTGTTCATTATATTGTTGCTTTGAAAAGATGAATTTTTTTCACTCAAGTATTATTATTATTATTACTCATCAATTTTAAATTTACAAATTGAAATACAATGTAATAAAAACAAGCAGAATAATGTTCACTACAAGATTGTTTTGTATATTATTTTTGGCATTTTATAATTCATTAAATAGAGACTCTCAATAAATATAAAAATGTTGACGACTTTATTTATCATTATTATTTTGTTCTATTGACAGAAAATTTAGGTCATTTCAAATTCCATAATAGGCCATTCCGTTATTCGTGATTATATTGATTAATTTAATAATATTTGACTATGATTGTCACTAAAAGAAAAAATACAAATAATTATAAATAAATGTAATTTCTATTAACATTTTATAACTAGAAACCTTATATTTCAATCTAAAAACGACTATGTTATAGAATAAAATTTCACCAAACTGTATAAAATATGTTTACATAAATTACACGTTTATGCTAAGATATGTTCATTTTTTTCGTAACTTTAAATAAGAGTTTTTTAAGATAATATAATGTCAAATAACCCGTACAAAATATGTAAAAAAAAATTTAAATAGTTTTATGTTAAAATAAATTGATATCGTTCATTAATTTTCATTTTTATTCAGTTATAAGACTACTCTAAAAATTACATCAATTAAAAATTATATGTATTATAAATAATTTATTTTATATTTAATTGTATGAAATCACTTTAAATTTATGAAATCTTTATCATTTTTCAATACTATTTTTTTTCCTGTTGACAAAAAATTTAAGAACAAAACATGATTTAGAAAAAATTTATGCCAACACATATATCAGACAAAGCATTTAGGTTAACTTTATAATTTCGACCTAAAACGATAATTTATAAATTTTTTTTAATTTTAAACAAATCAAATAAAGTGTAATGAAAATTTTTCTCGGATTTAATATGATTATTAAAATTATTGATAAAACTAATTTAAGAGGCAATTACATAAAAATTACATTTTGAGACATTAAAACTACCATTACTTTTTAAAAAATGGATGAATAGAAACAAAATTTTTATGGATGCATTAGGTAATTACCTATTACTTAGTATATTTTTTTTGAAAATCTGACCCCTTACCTTCTCACAGGTGGGATCTAAATGGCAACTTTACCACAAAACATTAAAAAAAATTTCGAAAATACTGACACTTTTATACATATCTTAAATTGAAGCGTATGTAATATACTTTAATAATTTTGAATTTTAATTTTTCTTCATGGTGAAAATGGCAACTGTATTCAAAAATATGCTATTTTATTTTAAAATATCTTACAAAAGTTATTAAATTAGAAACAAATTTTAAACTCACTTTTAATTTTTATCTCATTTAGATTCAATAACTTCAATGATATCATGGTACTCATTACTGTTGTCTCTCCTAGTGAGAGAAAATTTCTTATTCATATTAAAATTATTTTACTATGTGGTCTTTTTTTGTGGCTGTCATTTATTTTCTCAGATTTCACTTAACCAATTTTTTTTAATGATACGTCAAATATAACTACTATCTAGTAAAAGATATTACCCTCAAAAATTGAAAAAAATTCCCTTAATCAAATAAAAAGTTGCTTAGCCCACATATTCCATATAGACAATTAAAATATTTCATATTTTTTAAGTAATTTTTGTTGAATTAGGTTTGATATGATAATGGGTTTCAACTACAAAATAAAATAATGTTTTTTTAATTATTTTTTTATTTTTTAACTCTATTTACGCGTTATACTACCAGTCTATAATATTCAACATTTTTTGACAACACGATCCTACATAAATCATTTCTAAAAATAATAATTTTTAGTTTCACTTAAATTTAACAATGGATTTTCACAATTATAATCAAATTTTATAATACGTTCAATTGAGTAAACATTTTAAAAAACTTTTATATTGTTTTATTTAGTTAAAGTAAATCATTAAAATTAATTAAGTTCTTAATATTTCAATTGTAGAATCTTTTTAAACACCAAAAGTTACTCAGAAATGATTACAATGATTTTTATCTAAGTTATCTATTACGATAAAAATACAAAAAAAAATTGAGCTTTGCTGATAAATTGACAATAAATAGTTATTATAAAATTTACTGACAGCATATTAATCTTAACAATTTTTTTAATTTTCATAAAATTTTCTGTTTAATGAAGTCAATTTCAAACTTGCAAGTATAGCTAAAAGTCGCAGTAATAACGTTTAGCATTTTTATATTTGAATACTTGTTTTTAACTAATTATTAATAATATCAAAAATTAGTGGTAATAAAAAAAAATTAATTGCAGATTTGAAATAAGCACGAAAAATGGGTTTATAAAAGTATATTTTTGACACTGATGAGAATTCTTTGTACACCATTTATTCATAATTAACCATCAATTATCTTCTGAAAAGTTTTGTATCAATCCCTTCAATATTTATACACGTATGTCATAAGAGTAACAACTACTTTGTAATTATTTTATAATCTCTCTGTTGATTTTTGACCGAGGTAACTGTTTCTGGAGTAATTATTTTTCGCATGATACATGTAGTGCTGTTAGGAGTCCGTTTAATACCTATGGATGTTGGCCAAAACCAAGAATCGGAAGCTACCCGACGTCTGCCCAAATATTGTCCCTTAAATTCGGACAATTTATTGGTATCATTAAGATAAATTCCTTATCTACTTAAATGACTTTTAATTACTTGAAGGAGACACGGGCAATTGTGTAACTTGGTTACCAGAGACAGATTGTATAATAAAGTTAAAATATTGTTTTACCATTTTTTCCGGTAAACGAGCGATCACAGTTGTCGTCGTCGAAACACAGAAAGTTGTTGACCACGTTACAACCAAAACGTGATTATATCGTGCACTACCGCGTACTAAAACGAGCTGAGAAACACGGCGTGGTCGTAACCAAACTGCATAAATTGTATGCACTGGTTGACCATTACTTCGAAAGTTATAAACATTTTTATACAGAGGTGGAAAGAGATGTGAGCCAACCGTAAAATGTCCAATGATTATTATCATACCCGCAATTCATTTTCAGTCTTTTAAAATGGTAATATATTTAAAAATTGGTAATAGCTATCGTTATAATGGGTCATAAATATTATCGACCAGTAATTTTCTTAATTAGATTTTTTTAATTAATTAGAAATTAATATTTTTTTTATTTTACAAGTTAGTTAAATATATGTAAATATATGTTGTTATTAAAAAAATAAAGAGTTGACACTCTTAGAAGGTGTAAGAGATATATTAAAAAAATTAATGATATAAATCTAAAGTTACGTGGTTCACAAAATGTCTTATGAAATATATTATAGTATAACTGAACAATGAAGTTAAGCGCTGTCAAATATCATCTATACTTGTCCTATGCCACCATCCCATTGTGTTTAGTTTTTTTCATATAATAATGTAAAAGAACCTTGACATACATTTTGTTTATATTGTTCGGTATATCAATTCATAAATGATGAGTAGTATTTGTAATCAAGAATAAAAAAACATAGATGTAACTGTAATTTATTTATTTAGATAAAATAATTTTTGTAAATTTTCTATATTTTGACAGACAAATTAGTGATATTATATAAAAAGAAAATGCTTCTAATTTTTTATTCTAAGTATGTTTTTAGATCACAAATACAATAGTTAGATAAAAAAGTTTATAAATGACCGATTATTATAATTAATAATTGTTGTTTGTAGATCACAAAATAAGGAATAAAAATAAAGAGAAATATATATAAAGTGTTATATCACATTTTGAGTAAATCAGAAGTTTTTGCAGAACAAATTAACTCCTGCCTCAACTTTTGTTTGAAATTCTGGGTGTTCCGGATCAAGAAACTGTTTTTCCGAATTAAGATTTCTTAATTCTTCAATATAATCTACTACAAAAGGTTCACTATGCTCTACTTTAATGTTTTCGAGTCGATGAATTTTATTTGATTTAACAATACCATTAATTTTTCTAATTATATCATCTAATAATCTATTATTGAATGTGTGGCCTCGATTTTTAAACTTAATGTCAGTAGTCCATTTAATTAATGATAATGATTTAATAAGATTATGGAGTACAACATTTTTATATTTTATTTCAAAATAATCTAGTGCTTCAACCATACAAGTCAATAATGGTTTAAACATAGAAAAACTTTGAATTAATTTTTGCAAATAATTTAATTTATTTTCATATATTTCAAGGTTTATATACTCTTCTATCATATTTCTGTAGAATTGATGTAATTTTGTTAGCATATCTCCATAAATCAAAGTTAATACCACTGATGCTCTATGCTTTTTAACGCCACAAAAGAACCAGTCACGGTCACGTTTGAAAGGTAATGGTGCTAAGTTTTTGTTCCACAGTTTATAAATTCCGTGAGAATCGCAAGAGTAGATACCAGATAAAGATTTCCATCCAATAGATTCAATAATTTTATTATATTGAACAATTTGACTTTCATCAATTAATTCAGTATTAGAACTGTTAGTAAAACATATGAGAACAAAAACGAAAAATAATCGTATGAGTAACATAATAATTATAGTAATCGAATAAAACAAAATTAACACTTTGTATAAGCCGTATACCATTATTTCTTTGAATTTATATAGTATATTTACAGGTATTAATACAAATATGTATAATTATAATTTATGTTCAATGTTTTATTTATGACTTATTCATATTTTTTTGTGTTACAATAAGTTTATTTGTCATTGTATAACACAAAAATTAAAATTATACTTGTCGAATAAATCTTTTTTCTAACTTTTAACTTCAACATGAAATCAAATGTTTATTTATATATAAATAAATATATTTCTATGACTTCTTAATATTTTAGCAATTCATTAGCCACTCAATTTTATTGGATTTTTAAAGTTTCTTTATATATATATATATAGATATATTGAAATACATTTAAATTAATAACTATTTTAAGTATTAGCTGAAGATGAAGCGTAGTTTTTGCTATTTTTATCACTGGATATTTCTCAGCTACCTTCTTCATCTCGTCTATAAATAATAAAGTGTAATAATATAATAAATTTGACACCATTATAAGGAACATGGGATAACTAGTGATGAGCAAAACAAGAACAAGACCAAGACTGTCAAAGTCTTGGTCATAGTCTTGTTCTTGATAGCTCAGTCTTGGTCTTGGTCTTGCTTTGCTAACTCAGTCTTGGTCTTGCAAATCTAGTCTTGTTCTTGTTCTTGGTCTTGCTTATTTAGTCTTGTTCTTGTTCTTGGTCTTGCCCATAAAATCTTGTTCTTGTTGCGAGTCTTGTCACAATACTCTTGCAAAATCTTGCATTCATTTATATTTGTAAAAATTTTCTACTTAAAAGGTTTAAATAACGAAGTTATCTACTTCAGTTTGTAAATTCAAATTTAATTTATATGCCATAGGATTTTTAAGTTAGAACTTAATATTAGCATAAACAATATGGATGATTTTTTTATGAATAGTTTGGGGTATTAAAAAAAAATAAACAAATAAATTAAATTATAAAAAAATAAGACGTTATTTAAACAAAGTATTTTTTCATTTTAAAGTGATGGCGTTATATTGTCCGAATGGTAACGCAGAGGATGTGCGGTCGGGGGGGACGCGATATCGATTCTCTTAATCGGATAATTTTTTTTGCATTTTAATTAATTTTTTTCATTAAATAATGAACATGAATATATTTATTTTATGAGTTTACCAGTCGCCGGTTTTATGTATCGATTTTTAAAACCGGTTTTAAATAATAATCGCTTTCTGTTCATAGACACAGTTTTTAAAAATTATTGGTTTTGATTAACAAAACCGAAAAAAACTGTTATAACCAGTTTTTATAAAACCAGTTTCAGTCTCCGCTTTAGAAGTAAACAAAAATTTTATCTAATTTTATCATAATGTTTGAAGCACGGAATATTTATTTTTAATCTTCTTTAATTATTTAAAATTAATTAATTACAATTGAATGACAATAAATTTTGAAACATGATTGTAAAATTTTAAGTTAATCGGTAACATCAGCTCATAGGTAATATTTAATTTGAACAATACGCGTAATGAATAAAAATCAAAGTAAAATTTAATATTGTCGAATCTGTCATTAATAATCTTAACGATTTTAACCAACAAAATTTTTTTTTTTTTTTGCAAGAGTGCAATACTCTTGCAGTTTTATTCTTGTTGTTGCAAGATTCTTGCATTTTGAGTCTTGGTCTTGGTCTTGTTCTTGCAAGTCTAGTCTTGTTCTTGTTCTTGGTCTTGCTAAAAAAGTCTTGGTCTTGTTCTTGTCAATTGAGTACAGTCTTGATGTTGGTCTTGCTGATATTATTACAGTTTTGGTCTTGTTCTTGGTCTCGTAGAAATGCAAGACCAAGCCAAGACCGCAAGAACAAGAGTAATTCTGCTCATCACTAGGGATAACCTAAAATGCATTTAACTGCTTATAAATAAAGAAATTAATACAAATTAAATAAGTCAAAATATATTATAATTAAAGTTACTTAAGCTATAATGGAAAATTCAAGATAACCAAGCAGATTATATAAATGCAAAAAAGCCTATTGTCTTTACTACGCTAAAATTTTGTAAAGTCAGTTCAGGTCAATGTATTTCTAAAAGTCAAAATGAAAAATAATGACGGATTTTTACAGACATTTTTGTCTTTAAATGAAGACTTAATAGTTAATACATTGGAAAAAATATTTAATTAAAATAAATAAAAAAAAAAA